GTTTTTAATAAACTAAGTTTGCTTCCTAGCGGTAAGTTAACAAGAAACGTGCTCCCAAAAGTGCCTTGTCCTCGTACAAATGTGCTTTCCAACTAAGAGCTCTGTGAACTAACCCGAAAGACAAGAAAATAATGAAATACCGGTTTTGGATGTTGGATATTTATATGTATATCGTATTGCAAAGAGTAACATAACGCATTAATAAGCGAGTATGAATAAATTATAATTATTACAGACTAGGTGTGCGTTGCGACCTGTTGAACAACCTTTCCCGCCTCACTAATTGTTTTAATAGAATTCCATGGTTAACCTTAATGACAAAGGTAATAATATAGATAATGTAAAATCAATTTTATGGCATTTATAAATCAGCTGTTTTTCGTGAATTTTAAATAATAAGAAGCCAACACACAGGCGAAAAAGCTAAATATAGTGCTCTGAAACTAACTTGACTAAAAATAGCAAAAAGGGGCTTTCCTAGTTTGTGGAGCTAAAAAATTTCAAACAAAAGTTTGAGATTCGACACCTGTTTCGGACAGCCCGATGCCAAGTAGTAGTGACACAGGTTTTGACTCGGAAATATATAGAAAGCCAATTGAAAACAAAGCAATAGGTCTCCAAACAAAAATAACTTTCCGGAGTATTGGTGCAATATACCAGTATTAAAAATAAATTATATTTCAGAGAGTGAGGACAATCAATAAATTATCTACATCGTTTTTAGCAATAAGCAGTACTTAAAAAAGAGTGCGCGTAAGGTTCACACGCGATTGAAGTAAAACTTAATTGCTACTGTAAAAGATGGCATTTAAGTAAAAATAAATACATCATATAACAATTTTGAATAATGTTTATTAGTAATATGGTAACACTCGTGATGCATACATTTATTAGTGTCAACCATTATACACATTTATATAATGATAAATTATAAATTATATATTTATAATAGCATTAAAAATGTGTATAATATTTAAAAACAATAATGTAATTAAAGTCATACTACAAGTATGACATGAACGGTTTGTCATTGTAATTAGCATTTAGAAATGAACTTTCATTAGAGAAATGAAGTAATTGCTGATTAATAAATTCTTTAATATTTGTTCACACAGTGGATTATGTTGAACAACGCCTAAACAAATATTCTTTACGCAACTTGACTCATCATGTAATAGTGTTTGAAGAACTTCATGTAATTAAAATTAACATACATTCACTGACTGCTTGTAATTTTTTTTACTTTTTCGCTGGCGATATAATCTCATTCTTAGAACAGTTGTAATATCTGTCTCGCCTAAAAATATTTTTGATTTTAATAACTTCAAATAGATCACGGCACAAATGTTTAATTTGTTTTAATATTTTGAAGGAACAGGGTAAAATATACTTTTGATTCAGGCATTTTTCATTAAATCAAGATTTGAACTACAATGTAACTTTGAAATGTTTATTTATCTATGCCGATTTCCTTGTTGATATCGGTACGCATACAACATTGACGCCGATTCAGGCATTTTACATTAAATCAAGATTTGAACTACAATGTAACTTTGAAATGTTTATTTATCTATGCCGATTTCCTTGTTGATATCGGTACGCATACAACGACAGATCTCTAATCAGATAGACGATCTCTAATCACAATCGACCCGTATAGAAATGATTTCATGGAAAGCGAATGACGAATCATTGGCACTCGACTCTTCCGTAATGCACTTCCGTTGCATTTGTACGGATTTCCACCCTAGCTGCACCTAAAAAAGTTTTACTTCAAAAATGATACATACATGTCACTTACTTCACGGTATGTGACAACAATACAAGAGTCATCAAACGGTATATCATTGGGCAATAATTCTATGACAATTCAACTTGAATAGTAGTTGATGCACATTAAATATCGTATCGGCAGCATCAGCTTTTTTCATATAAATTATAAAACCGTAGTTATGCAGTTAGATTATATTATATTATATTATAAGTTAAACTGGATCGCAAGAACGGGAAATAATTTCACGCGCACTGCGTTGCTGTTGCATAATAGCGAGCTAGCCGTCGCGTCGCCTGAACCCGCGGGATTGGATTCCTGAATAATGAGATATTTTACTGTAAATAAGCTCATCTGATCGTTCGGCATCACCAGGAACAACGATAATTTTCGATAAATTCATATTAACTGAAATTTCCGTCATATTAAAATAGTAGATTCTCATTAAAAACTGTCAACGAGATAAATAACTGTATTGGTCTACTCGAATAGTATGAAACCTTATGAGCGACAATAATTAGTATTTCATCTTGCTTGCTCTAATAACATTTCTCGGAAATGATTTCTCAATAGTAATTGCAATGATTTATCACCCTATCCAATAAAGATATCCCGAATTATTGAATAATCAGACTTACAATACCGGAATTCCGTGATCCTGAATACCGGGATTTCGGGATTACCAGTATTTTGTTAAAAAATGAGCTTAAGTTTTACACTGTGTATGTGTATTGCCGAGTATGACACATCCGCAAGATATAGCGATTGTTTATATATTATATACGATAGCTACCTAATGAATAAATAGTTTGATAAAATCAATGATAATATTGCTCTCGGTGGTGGATGACCTCTTTCTTATGCGTACGTTGCAGATTCCTAGAAATTGTTAATATCTAATTGGGATTTGATTATAATCTAAATGAGGTACTAATTCATATCGACTAATAATGTTCTTGTATTATTTCTTTGATAATTGTCCCGACAAGTGTAGAATGAGAAAAGGCTTTTTCGGATTGTTTTAATCGTACTAAAATTCGGTTCTCGCTTGAAGATGAAACAATTGATTGTTTATCTTTGTTGAAAGCATATTTTGATAAACATGTTATTAATTGAATATTTTGTTTCGCTAAATATGAAATTCCACAGGAGCCTATTATATGTAAAATATAACATAGAAGTTTATATATATTTTTTTACTTGAACGTCTTTTTGTATCTATCTACTCCTATTCTTTATGAAATAAAATAAATATTTTTTACTCATTTTAGAACAATAATAATGTTAATATGTCATTATAACAACTGCGATAAATAAAAATATGACTATTAAATTTCAATGCCGGTATTAATACTGGGATCCCGGTATTACAAATTTCAAATATCGAATACTGGTATTCAGATTTTAATACGGTATTGGAAGCCCTAATTACAACTTTGTAACATGATAATTCAAAACATTTTTAAATTCTAAATTCTATAAATTAAGAATTGGGAAAACAATATTTTTGAACTTAATGGAAGTCCATAATTATTACGCTAGGAGTTCAAGAAATTAATTCGACAGATTAGGTTAAAATAGTTTGACAGTCATTATTGGATATTATTTTAGTAAGTCATAAAACAAATTTGTAAATATATCACACGCAATTGCGTAATAGGAATATAAACCTTTTCTTGTAAGTTTTATTAAATCTTTTCTATGTTCATGCTTTTCAAAATAAATATAGAGAAAAATAAATTCATTCATGTATGTTTATTAATTTGTAATAAAATAAATTTTTATATTGATGTAATAGGGTATTCTGACTATTTTCAAAGATAAGTTATTCAAAAAAATATGTATAAGAGGATTTTTAACAATTCAACTTATTTTTGGAGATATAGCTGTTTGACCACGACAATTCTCCTCTGTCAATCCACGAAACATCAAACTGTTTTTTTAAACTGTCTTTCAATACAATACCCACGTTTTCTCTACTTTTACTAAACTGATTTACTTAAAACTTTTTTATAGACGTTTCCTTCAGTATGAATGCACTCATCCCAAAATTCCGATTATAATTATTTTAAAAAAAATCGAGAATATCAAAAAAAGTAAAAACTAGCTGTAAGTGGAATTCTGTCTTAAGGCAATTAGGGCATCGTGCCTTAAGGCAAATTGCTGGAACTTCCCGTACAAAAATTATTATTTTTTTAAAAACCGATTAACATTTTTGAAAAAATTTTACTTCGAAAAAAATAGATTTTTGAGAAACTATAAATTTGACAAAAAAATACTTTTTTTTGAAAAAAAAAAAATTTATTTGAAGAAAAATTTTTTTTTGAGAAAAAATTTTTTTTTTGAAAACAAAAAAAAATTTTGAAAAAAAATGTTTTCTTCATTTTGACATATTTTGAAAATTCTGAACTTTTTTTCACTTGCACTGCACTGCTTGAACTGCATAGAGACGAAATGTCAAAGCTCGCTAGTGCCGCGCCGCCGTCTAACGCGTAAACATTGGTACGGAACCCACAGAAATGTAAAAAAAAAATATACTTATTGTTGAAATCTCTATAAAATATCTGACAATTTGATGTGCATATGTCTAATGATCATTTTTAACCGCCGAATGGCATTTTTTTTTACTTTTTTCATTAGATCTCCGAAACCGCTAGACCTGCCTTCATGAAAATTTGATCAGTTCTACATCTTGTCAATACAAGTAAAATGTTTTTTGAATTATTCAAATCGGACGCTCCGTTCTCTTAAAAACGGAGGTACCGTTTTTGGCACTTTTTGCCCCGTATCTTTGGAACGGCTGGACCTGCCTTTGCCAAAAACTAATCAGCACGTCTCCTTATCAATACGAATCGAATGTTTTTTGAATTATTCAAATCGGTTAATCCGTGTTCCCGAAATCGTCGACGAAAATTTGTATCCGCACATACATACACACACATACATACATACATACATACATACATACATACATACACACACACACACACACACACACACATACATCCATTTTTTCTAAGGTATGCCAAAATGTTCAGAAACCTCTGAAACGTAAAGATATATAAATATTTTCATTTTCGATTTTTTTGCGATTACTATAACTTGCCCTACGGGAAGTTAAAAATATGTATAATTTTCAATCAGTCGCTATTTTGTAAATAAAAATTAGCTTAATTCTGAATTAATAATTTATACATATTTTTTTCCTATTATTTGGAGAGCTTAAACTATGGGTATGGTCAGGTGCCAAGTTTTTGAGACCCCTCACTCCATCACCAGCCAGAAAAATTTCATGTTTATTTATATTTTGGAAACATTAATTAATAACAGTAAAAAGATTGTTTGCCTTTTTTACGACTTTTAAAAAATCACATGAAATTCATGCCTCCAGACCAGAATCTGGACTAGAATACCTCTTTAATTATGAAAAATAATATCTACTACACTTTGCAAATTTTGTTAAAAAAGCAGAATATTTTTAAACAATATTGAATTTTATGGCAAAGATTTCATCAATGCTTCTTGATTATGTATATTTATAATTTTATGTGTTTTACAGGATCGTTTCCCAGTACACCAAACAAGAGTTCATGTGCTTGTTAACAGATACCCTAAGTTTACAAAACCTCATATCGGCTCGAGATGACCATTTTTATGAAACCAGAATGTGGTTAGAAAGGATTAATTTGGTGGTTGATGAACTGGTGCAGGTTGGAGAAACTATGCGTTGCACGTTAGGATCACTTCTATCAGTCTACGCCGTTTCTAGTAAGATATAAAATATTTATTTATGTTGAAGTTATGATATGATTTCTATTTATAAGTAAATTTCAAAACTAGTGGTGTATGGCAATGTGCCTTAAGACAAATTTCTGGAACTTCCCGTAACAAAAATTAAATTTTTTTAAAATTAGTTTTAAAATTAAATTAGTTTTAAACTTTGAAAAAATTAGATTCTTGAGAAATTTTTGAAAAAAAAATGACTTTTTTGGAAAAAAATGATTTTTTTTATTTTGAAATATTTTGGAACTGTTGAACTTTTTTTCAAAGCAATACCACTGCTTTAGCTGCATAGAGACGCAATATCGAAGCGCGTAAGCGCCGCGTCACTATCTAATGGGCAAACAATGTTACGAAACCCAAACAAAATTGATACACATTATTAAAATCTCCATAAAGTATCTGATAATTTGATGTGCGTATGTTTAATGATCATTTTCGACCTCAAAATGGAATTTCTTTTACTTTTCTTACTAGATCTCCGGAACCGCTAGACCTGCCTTCCCAAAAATTTAATCAGTTCTTCATCTTGTCAATATAAGTAAAATGTTTTTTGAATTATTAAAATCGGATGCTCCGTTCTCCTAAAAACTGAGTTACCATTTTTGGCACTTTTTGCTCCGTATCTTCGTAACGGCTAGACCTGCCTGTGCCAAAAACTAATCAGCACGTCTCCTTATCAATACGAATCGAATATTTTTTGAATTACTCAAATCGGTTGGTCCACGTTCCCCAAATTGTGGACAAAAATTTATATCCGCACACGCACACACATAAACACACTTTTTTTTTCTAAGGTATGCAAAAATGTTCAGAAACCTCTGAAACGTAAAGATAAATAAAAATTTTCATTTACGATTTTTTTGCGATTAACATAACTTGCCCTACTGGAAGTAAATTAAAAATTATAAATTATTACATTACTTTATTTCAAGAAAATAAAATCTTTAGTCAGAATTTATAAAACCTGTTCTCAGAATGTTATGTGTGAATAGATCATTCAATCATTTTCCTCTCATTGACCACAGTATTAATTGAAGGTGTAATTTCTGTTGCAAAATACAACAAAACAGACAAATGTGACATCTGTATTTAAATATAAATAGCAGTATGTGAAAGTTGCATATAAAATTTAATCTAATATTACAAAAATAAAATCTAATGTAAATGACGAAATGACACTCAAAATGCGATTCGAACATTGAGTTAAACTGAAAGTCATATCGTTAGAATTAAAAATTAGATTAGATCATAATTAAACTAAATCATCTCTCTTCAAAAGTTTTTAAATTATATTTTAATTTTGCTTGATGCAATTTAAAAAATAATGTGTATTCTTTATATAGTTTTAATAAAATTGTACTTGTATTTTAATAAAATCAAAATCGATTATTTATTTCGCCTCCCATATATAACGTTATTTTGGTATTTACATAGTGTTTGTTTATATAAAAAATTTGCTATAGCATTGTGAAAATAGACTACACCTAAGTCTGTTTTTACACGGTCTTTTTGTACACGGTTTTGAAATAACACGGTTTGAAAATTGAATATTTTTAATTTTTTTACACGATTTTATTCCATTTAGAACGATTTGAAATTTTATGTACTTAAATTTTTTTTGTCAAATTTAATTTTTGCGAATTATGTTCATAACACAAAAAAGTATTTACGAAGGAAAAAAGTCTGAAACCATCGATAGTATCGATAGTTTGCGAACACTAGCTTAAAGATTTAAGTGAATTCCCCTTTAGCGCGTACAAACAATTTTTACTGGTCAAAGCAAATGTGAAAAGCACTAAGCATTATATATTTGATTTAATAAAATAAACATGAATTCTTGTTCTTAAAAATTCTTGTATTTCACTCATTTTAATAGGTTTTAGAGATTAGGAACAAATCACCCATTTTTGTATAAGATCAATGTCTTTTTTTACACGGTTTCTTCTGGAACCAATCTCCGTGTAAAAACAGACTTAGGTGTACTATAAATAGATATAAATCAGCTTGAAAACGTAAAAACTTGAAAAATTATCAAAATTGAATAAAAAAGTACATTCTGTCATCACATATTCTGATAAAATATGATAATAATTATTTAATGATTTTATTCAAGATATTGTGATATTAATAGATCAGAAAATTGCATAGCCAGAAACTTATTTTTATCTCGAATTTGTGTATTCAATTACCTGATATCATAAAAAAATATTACTGTCAATGTTTTATTTTTTTTCATAATTTTTTAATCCAAAATAAAATATATAATAAATAAACCAAAAAAAAAAGTATGCTCTTAAGTATATCCATAATTTATAATGCTTATTCACAATCTCTTTTTAAGAATTAGAAAAACATCAATGCATGTTTATTCACGGGCTTCAATGTTAAAAAATAAAGTAAACCTGAAGATAAAATAAATTATTTTAGTTTCTATTTTGCGCAAAAATAATTTTTTTTTTTAAGAAAGCGTCCATTAATCGCGTGAAGCTTAAAGGGGTGGGGGGTATTTGACAAAAAATAATGAAATATAACGTGGAGAAGGTATAGTTAAAATTCACGTTTTTATTTTTTTATTCAGAAAGAAAATATTATTTTTTTTAAATTCCATAAAATAAAAAAGTTGGACGTGGGGTCGAAAAATTAAAAAAAACATGGATCACGTAATTAATGTACGTTCCATAAGAAACAGGACTTTGTATTTTTTGGCACTCAAATAGAACTTCAGAAAAATTATTTCAATAATCTATATACAATGTTGTGTTTTAGTGCATTGTAACACTTGCAAAATCCAGTGAATAGTAAAATTCCCGTAAATAGTATATATTTATTTTATCCTGCATTATATCACGGTACGAAAAACTGAATTTTATGTTTAATAAATAGATTCTTATATTAAATTAAACTATAAAGAAGCGTATTTTTCAGGTTCATGGAAAACAGCCAATACAACAGAATTGAAATTATACAGAGATAAAATCACAGAATTGATGGATGGGATGTATCCAGCATTTGAGAGCTTTACGGGAATTCCCTTTCCTTTAATCAACCCATATGAAAATTTTGTTGAATTCGTCGACCGGAACGAAGATATTTCTCATTTAGAAAACTTTGGAGGAATTCATATGGAATTCTGTTATCTGAGTCGGCTTTCAAAAAATGACAAGTATTGCGAAACCGCGGTTAGTATATTGGATATTTGGTATATTTGGCGGTTGGTATATTGGAAAGAATTATACATTTTTGGTATATTTAATTCTAATATAATAAGGCCTTTTGAAAATATTTACTTTCTTCTAACTTTCAATGACAAATTTCTATATAAGATCTCTTAAGCTAGCAAGACTAAGTTAGCAAAATCGGACCGGACCTGTTGTATTATTTTAGTACTTATTTTGTACTAATTTGTACCACAAAAAAAATGTACTACATGCCGCCTGTTTAAAAAAAACACGTGGCGCTGCTACATTTAAAATTAAGCTAGCAAGCCCACTTTTTGTTTTAGAACAAAATAAATAAAATTAAACGAAAATTGATTAATTCGGATTCGTGCTAATTTGTACCACCAAAATTAAACCAAAAAAAATCGAAAATGCCTACTAAAATCGGTACCCCATGACGACCGAACTGCCCTTATATGAGATGTTTTGTACATTTTGTACAATTTGGAGATGATTGGAGACATAAGAACAGAGTTACGAAATCTGATATTTCTAATTTTAAACTGCTCTTTAAGTTTATTTTTCTCCATTCTCAAAACTTGCAGACTCAATCTGGGCGTAAGTACAATTTGGAGATGATTAGAGACGTAAGGGCAGGGGTACAAAATAAGTAATTCAAAACTAAATATTATATCGCTTATATAATAATATAATATGATTATTCTAGTCTAATTTAATTTTTCCCGTACTAAATGCCTTAACATTATTTTGGAGATGATTTGGGGCAAGACGATGGTAGTAATTTCTATAAAAATTTGTTATTTTATAATATTATTATCAAAGATTATTTTGTTCTTTATTTTTACTTCAATACAGGCTTTTTCTCTGCACTTTATACCTATATTAGGGCGGTCCGGCCAGTCATGGGGTACCGATTTTATTAACTATTTTCGATTTTTTTGGTTTAATTTTGGTGAATTAGTACAAATTCGAATTAATCAATTTCCATTTTATTTTATATTTTTGCTTCTAAAACAAAAGTGGTCTTGCTAGCTTAATATTAAAGTTAGCACGCCACGTGTGTTTTTTAAACGGCGCGTGGTACAATTTTTTTTGTGGTACAAATTAGTAAAAAAATAGGTAGTAAACTAGCTGTAAGTGGAATTCTGTCTTAAGGCAATTAGGGCATCGTGCCTTAAGGCAAATTGCTGGAACTTCCCGTACAAAAATTATTATTTTTTTAAAAACCGATTAACATTTTTGAAAAAATTTTACTTCGAAAAAAATAGATTTTTGAGAAACTATAAATTTGACAAAAAAATACTTTTTTTGGAAAAAAAAAAAATTTATTTGAAGAAAAATTTTTTTTTGAGAAAAAATTTTTTTTTTGAAAACAAAAAAAAATTTTGAAAAAAAATGTTTTCTTCATTTTGACATATTTTGAAAATTCTGAACTTTTTTTCACTTGCACTGCACTGCTTGAACTGCATAGAGACGAAATGTCAAAGCTCGCTAGTGCCGCGCCGCCGTCTAACGCGTAAACATTGGTACGGAACCCACAGAAATGTAAAAAAAAAATATACTTATTGTTGAAATCTCTATAAAATATCTGACAATTTGATGTGCATATGTCTAATGATCATTTTTAACCGCCGAATGGCATTTTTTTTTACTTTTTTCATTAGATCTCCGAAACCGCTAGACCTGCCTTCATGAAAATTTGATCAGTTCTACATCTTGTCAATACAAGTAAAATGTTTTTTGAATTATTCAAATCGGACGCTCCGTTCTCTTAAAAACGGAGGTACCGTTTTTGGCACTTTTTGCCCCGTATCTTTGGAACGGCTGGACCTGCCTTTGCCAAAAACTAATCAGCACGTCTCCTTATCAATACGAATCGAATGTTTTTTGAATTATTCAAATCGGTTAATCCGTGTTCCCGAAATCGTCGACGAAAATTTGTATCCGCACATACATACACACACATACATACATACATACATACATACATACATACATACACACACACACACACACACACACACACATACATCCATTTTTTCTAAGGTATGCCAAAATGTTCAGAAACCTCTGAAACGTAAAGATATATAAATATTTTCATTTTCGATTTTTTTGCGATTACTATAACTTGCCCTACGGGAAGTTAATAATACCAAAGGACAGGATCGATTTTGCTAATTTGGTCTTGCTAGCTTAAGAGAGGTGCTGATAATTTATTCAGAAAACCGCATGAATAATGCACCTACTAGTTTTAATATTTTGCTAGATGCAGTTTTAAATTAAGCTGTAATAATATTCAATGTAGTTAATAATGTAATAAGATTATTATTTCGGATTCGGGAATATATATATATATATATATATATATATATATATATAAATTAATTCAGATAATCTTGGCAATAATTATTCCTTTTCAGGAGACAATTCGAAAGATTGTGCTCCGTAACCGTGATGAAATAGAAATTCCGAATATTTTTCATATTGAAAATAAGGATTACAGACGGGGAGTTTGCCCACTAGGTAGTTGCTTCCACCGCCAGTTGATTAATTCTTCGCCAACGAGATACACAACATATAAGTTATTCAAAACTTTGCAACAAGGTTTCGAAAAGGCTAAAGGTAAAATAGCATAAGTAATACGATTTTGCATTAATGAAAACGATATTATCATTAAAGAAAAATTAAATCCGAATTTTCAACAAATAATTGAAAAAGTTCCTATAATTTATAATGTGATTCATTATGTTTTTAGTAAACTATGTTACTTCAAACGAAGGTAACTACAAATGCTATTACAATATTTTTTTACTCTTGCTGCGACAAGAAAGTTGAAAGTGGCATTTTGCCTTAAGGAAAGTTGCATGAACTTCCCGAAATGTGTAAGAAATGACCAATCCAAAATCAATCCAAATTTAAATTCAGATATTTAGATACATTTTTCAACTGTTTATTTCAAAAATAAAGTTATCACTTTCAATTAAATCTAAACATTGCGATTTCGAATTAAATCCCAAATAATATTTTTCGAATAGTTTTTGAATTTTTAAAATCGATTCAGAATTTCAGGCTAAAATGTGGACAAAAAATATTTCACTTTTCTGCTAATTATGAAAAAAAACGGCTCAGCCGATCGTATCAAAAAGAAAATGCCGATTTACGAATCTGGTCACATACACACACACGCATACTTTTTCCAAAGTTGGTCTCAGTCGATTAAGAATGGCTTGAAACGTCGAGAAAACATAAAATTAGCGAATCGAATTTTTTTATGAAAACAAACTTCTCGAAAAAACGAATAATTTAAATTTTTTTTTTAATTTTTTTTTTTTTTTTAATTATTTTTGAACAGCAATCAGAACCTAATAGTCCTATAGGCTGTTGTGCTGATTTTGACTTAATACTAGTCTGTTTGACAGATGGCAACCCAATCAGTTGTCACATCTCTGTTTGATATATTAATTATTACAATTTTTGTAATAGGGCGAATATTTTTAATGGTGCAGCAATTCCGGGTGAGGGCTATTTTCACTTGGCAACATATTGCTATCTATTTTTCCAAGTGAAAATTATTGTCAATGTTGCCTGACAACAGGCTGCTCGAAGTGGGTATTGAACCCGGGACCTCTGAAACAAGTCCCGTCGCTCTTAACAGCTTACCTACGGGCGAGAAATTTTAAAATAAAGGTTTTTTAGTTTGAAAAATAAACTTTTCAGAAACAAATTTTTACCTTAACGATAACTTCTTAGATACCGTATGTTTAAGCTTTGAGATTTTTGTTTCCTGTGCCGTTAAATACTTCTGTCAGTAGTACAAAGAAACATTACATCAAGCAATGCAGATACAGGTAAATAACTGATGAAGATCTGCAAACTAATCTCAATTGTAAAGATAAATATTTTGCTTCAACCACTTTGCAATTACAATTTGCTTAACCTATTTTTCAAAGCCAACAATAAGTATGAAGAATAGTAATTAGGATTTAGCTGTGAAAAATAGCTAGTTTGCATTTGTTTGTAAATTAATTACATGCAGACACATGTGAATATTTAAAAGAGCGTGCTGCACGCATATATATGGCACCTAAGTAAATATTCACACATCTGAATTAGATTATGACATTAATAATTAATATATATTGTTCTTATGCTAACGATTTCTAAACTGGAGAATTTAAATACATCTAAAACGTCTGACTAATTCGCCATATGCTACTGCTAAAAATTATTTTGGGTGTTGGATAGATAGAATTTAAGTAAATTCGAAAAACGTAATTTTTAACTTCCCGTAGGGTAAGTTATTGTAATCGTCCAAAAATCGAAATTGAAAATTTTTGCATTTCTCGACGTTTCGAAGGTTTCTGAACATTTTGGCATATCTCAGAAAAAATTGATGTGTGTGTGTATGTATATATATACAATTTTTCGGTCACGTTTTCGGGCGCACGGATTAACAGATTTGAATGGTTTAAAAAACATTCGATTCCTATTGATATGGAGATGTGCTGATTAGTTTTTGGCAAAGGCAGGTCCAGCATTTACGGAGTAAAGAGCAAAGAATGCAGAAAATAGAAATCGAGTTTTTGAGAGAACGGAGCATCCAATTTGAATGATCTAAAAAAACATTCGATTAGTAATGATTGGGAGAAGTGGTTGTTAGTTTTTGGCAAAGATAGGCCCAGCGATTTCGAAAATACAGAGCTAAATGTGCAAAAATGGCTGTTTTTGAGGGAACTAAGCGTCCGATTTAAACGATTCAAAAAACTTTCTGCTTGTTTTAACAAAATAATTGGCTTTGGAAAGAAAAAATTGTTTCAAAATTTTTTTTCAGAAAAAAATTTTTTTTGTCGAAAATAATTCAGATTTTATTTTTAATTCTGACTAAAGTTCTAATATACTTTAAACAAATAATTTCGACTTTGCAATTCAGTTCATATAACTCTTATAAATATTAGACAATGTTACAATGTTTATAATAATCAATCTGAAAACATTCAATATTCCTCGGACATTTCGTTACGGTACGGAAAGTTCCAGCAATATGCCTTAAGTCACGATGCCATACACCCCACTAGTTATAAAAATAAATTATTATACACCTTACATCGTATTTTTAGATGGTTTACAACCAACGGTTCAATCCATATTTTATTTCTTATTTAGACCTATTATTTAATTTGGTGCAGCAATGCTCAGAAAGAACATATTGAAGATCGCAATTCCCAAGTGAAAATTGATATCGCTACTGCTTGATATCAGGGTTGTTCGTGACGGGGATTGAACCCCCGACCCGCTTGATTAACTTTATATATGGTAGAATATTTTGAACAAATAGCATATTACAATATTACAAAACTTCTAAATACCAAAATATAGTTTTGAAATGCCAATTACCAACTCCTGATGCTTAACATTGAATATGTGAAGCATCCTCAAATAATTTGAAAAAAAAAACTAATAATTTCGGCATATTTCTGCTTTCTATTTGGGTTAGTACAAAATCTACTAATTTGTGCATATATGCATATATAATTTCCATTCTGCAAATATTAAAAATTCATCCGTTTTATTTAATAAACGTTATGTACATTTATGCAAATATAAAAATTTGTATGGAAAGACACACTACAAATATGTGAAAACTGCTGATTATAATAAACCTACTAATTGTAAGTCTTGTGGAGAATCATGTTATTCTGATATGTTTACTTTCAAGCGAATAAATCACAATTACTTAATTATCCTAACATTGTATGCATGACGCTTTGTATGCCTTTCTCTGGCAATTTCTCATAAATTATCATGCATATGTTAATTTATAAGAAGAAGGATCTTTAACATTCGTGACAAATTTCAATAGATGTCAGTGATTTGTTAATGGGCAAGATCAAAATGTAAGAGATCATTAAGTCCATAAATTAGTAGATCTATAAGTTAATTTTCTTCCCTTGTCAAAGATAATTCGTATTTCTCGAAATACCGAAATATGTAACTAATTTAAGACAGAGTTCTTTTATATAAAAAATAATATTATTGAAAAGTATTGAATTAACTTATCAAAAACTATTGCCTACAACCTAAATAATAAATTATTACCAAGTATAAAAGCAAAAGAAACATTTGTCTTTTATAGAATTTTGGCGAATAAATTGTCAATTTGTTAATACATACTTTATTCAAATGCATACATATTTAAACATTTTATTCAGAAATTTAAATTTATATATATAATATTTTAGCTGCTGATTTGATAACATTTTATGCCTTGTTGAGCATGGAAGCAAAAAAAAGCATGTTCACAGATGTAGCCGAGATGATTTTGTATTCTTATGAAGCAGGGTTTACCGACCTATACTACATCAATAAACAGGGTGGTAAGTTATGCCTATACTCTTAAATAAACTATATTTAAAGATGAGAAATCATAAATCAACACTTTGGTTGAACCAAAGCCAAATTATTTAATTTGTAGAACGCCTATTTTTTTCTAGACAAGTATTTGTAGCACTTTGGGTAAGCGTTTATTTACAACAAAAGATTTTTAAATATATGCCTCTTCATATACCATTTTTTTTACTTACCGTAGGGCAAGTTATAGTAATCGCAAAAAAATCGAAAATGAAAATGTTCATATAGCTTTACGTTTCAAAGGTTTCTGAATATTTTGGCAAACCTTAGAAACCTTAGTGTGTGTATGTGTGTGTGCGTGTGTGCCTGTGTGTGCGGATACAAATTTTTGTCGACGATTTCGGGAACACCGATCAACCGATTTAAATAATTCAAAAAAACATTCGATTCGTACTGATAAGGAGACGTGCTGATTAGTTTTTGGCGAAGGCAGGTCCAGCAGTTCCGAAGATACGGGGCAAAAAATGCCGAAATTTTACTTGTATTGACAAGATAAAAAATTATGATCAAATTTTTATGAAGGCAGGTCTAGCGGTTTCGGAGATCTAATAAAAAAAGTAAAAAAAAATGCCATTTGGCGGTTAAAAATGATCATTAGACATATGCACATCAAATTATTAGATATATTATAGAGATTATAACAATAATTATAAATTATGTTTACATTCATATGGGTTCCGTACCAATGTTTATCCGTTAGACGGCGACGCGGCGCTTACGCGCTTTGACATCTCGTCTCTATGCAGTTAAAGCGGTACGATTGCTTTGAAAAATAAAGTCAAAATAAAGAAAACTTTTTTGTTCAAAAAAAAAATTTTAAAAAAAAATATTTTTTTTAAAAAGTAATTTTTTGTCAAATTTTTAGTTTCTCAAATATCTAATTTTTTCGAAGTCAATTTTTTTCAAAAATGTTAATCGTTTTAAAAAAACAATTTTTGTTACGGTAAGTTCCAGCAATTTGCATTAAGGCACGATGCCATGCGCCCCACTAGTTATTTTTTTTTATCGTGAGAGCAATTTGTGTGGTTAAATGTTCTCAATTAGCCGAGAACTATTTGGCAGTTAACTTTCCTAAAGGACTCACACCACTACTACTCTCCTTGGTATAAAAATTTAATTTCAATATCTATGTTTCATCTTTTGTACTTATATCTTTTTGAATTATATTTTTTATTTAAAGAAGAATTAATACTGATCACTTCTACTCGTGATTGTTTGCTAAATGTCCACTAAAGAAATTTGTAAATTATATGGTGAAGTACAAAAAGGTATTGAAATAAAAATTATTAAAAAAAAAAATGAGATACATTCAATTCTTCAGAAGCGGTTTAGTCAATTCAAAATCATGTTCTGCCAAAACCCTGTATTTTTCTTACCAACAATATTTTCTCCTTTATAACTTAATTCATCTGGAGACCACTTGTCCGTGTTATACCCCATCTTTGAGGCCTATATTTCTAGAAGCAACTACAGTTGCTCTTGCGGTCTTTTTTAATAAGACTAAAATTGAATTGGAAATTCTCGAGGAAAATTGAAATCGCATTTACTTTTCCAACACACCTCGTGCTCTCACAATAGTCGTGCAGAGATGAACAGAAAATAAATGCTACTTGTAATAAGAGAAAATCGTATTTAAAAGCGAAACGAAACGGAGTAGCGGCGAGTGTCGATTATGATATGAAGATCGTGATCGTTCATAATGTATTAGATTTCATATTTGGGTTCATAGAGCGAAGAAAACCTGGGTCACTAAGATGAAATTAATGTATTAAACTTGTTTATACATTTAATGTCAGTAATTATATTTGGAAAATCTATAATTTATTTATTGCGTCTGCAGTCCCGCGTAATTTGGAACTTCTTAGGAACACTTCACTTGCAGAGAAAAACATTATTTTCCTCTCTACTCTGAGACACGTTTACTTCATTCTTGCCCCGGTCAAATTAAAGCCCAAATAGCCTCGAATTAGGAAAAATTCACATAGAGCTGAAAATTGATACAGATGTTAAATAAGCCATTATGAATGAAATGATAAATGTACCAGTAACTAATGGCAAAATAACATAGAAGATAAACTGTTGCTGTCACCTGACATGACAACAATAAACAAATTTGCCTAACAAATTATTTGGAAATTTCTTATGGTTTCCGCAAAAAATGTGAAAACTATAATTTTATAGCTTTGACCTTGACAAAAATCTCAGAGGTTAGATTAATAGAAACTTCTGACATTTTCATTTGCGATAGCTTATTTAACATCTGTAGTAATTATCAGCTCTATTATTCCTTACTCTTACTTGAATGCTATTTTGAGTGGAGTACATATCTATATATTGCATTAAATATCCTATACGTTTCTCATTCTGGCCATTTTTTTCTCTTTATTGATTTTATTGTATGTATTCATTTTTTCAAAAATATATCCAATAATTAGGATAAGATAATTCAATAAGTTCGTGGGACAATGTACGGCTTATGAAGCCAATGAAAAAAACTTCTCTTCCTTATTTACTCTTGACGATTATACGAGACGCTTGCAAAATTATAAAAAGATAAATTTTCGCGCCAAATTATAAATTCATTTCATTAAGTTTTATAATAGAAAATTTAAATATTTTTGGTTTACTTATTTTATGACTATAGACTACTTAGACCTGAAAGTATAGAATATTTATAACTTTTATTTTTTATAAGAAAGAAAATGCAAATGCAAATGGAAAAGGTAATAGATAAAAGTTTAAACAATATGTTTTGTTTCAAATTACCATTAAAATTTCAATAATAACAGCACATCATTAATTTAAAAGAAATCATGTGCAAATGTAAGAAATAAATTAAAACACTGCAATAATATTTTTCAAGCAAGATTGCTTTTAGAATATGTATTATACGTAACTATATTTAAAAAAAAGCTGAAGATCTGGTGACTAATTTTTAAAAAATATTCGGGGATAGCGATAAGTTAATGGGTAAACTTGACAATTCATCCAGGATTACAAAAAATCCTAAAAAATAAAATTTACCACACTAGTAATAAATTTGTATCTACAAACTACAAAAATCTTCATGTGTGCCAAGGACGTATAAAAGATTCTAGTAAAACAATAATTCCGCAACAAGGTAATAGTCGCAAATTTATTATGAAATTGACATTTAAATACTATTTGTTACTGTGCCAATATACTAATTCAAATTATTTTATACAAAAATCGAACTCAAGTAAAATTACTTTAGCTATGACAAGACAAAATTTTTGAATTAAGCTTACAAAACATGTTCAAGCAGTAGAACCAAAGAAATACATATACCATTTAAACAACTATGGCGTTGTTTATCAGAGATGAACATATAAATTAATTATTTTTCATTTGAAGTTTTGTGACGATATTTCATGATAAATGTGTATTTCAGTAATGGAAAAACCTGCCCCAAATGCAATACAGCGAGATGCTATTTTGGCGCAATCCTATTTCTACGTATACAGGGCAACATCGGAGAATAAATATAAGGAGTATTGCCGTATTATAATTGACAATTTGAAAAATGTTGTAAAACACCGTCAAGCACAAGGTTTAGATTGGTCATACCAGGAGGCTCGACATATCATGAAGGTAACTCATAATTCCATAAAATCAGATGATAACTTTTTGAAATGGTTTAATTATAATTAAATTATAGAAATAATCATTTATTTTAATTTATAATTCGATGTGGGGTGGTAAAATGTGTGCAGTAAGTAGAAGATGAGGGAATCAATTTTTACTCATTTTCTAAGAAGTCTTGCACAAGTATTAACCTTTTCGAGACGGCGATTTTTTTCGAACGCGGCGCCCAGAAGCAAATTTTTTTGTTTATATTGTTCATTTTTAATAAAAAAAATGTTTACTACGGAAATCACCCAATTTGTAAGAAAATTTGCATAAATAAGATAATTGCACATAATGTGTACATCTCGCTCCTTAGAAAATTTTTACTGTGAGCAGATTGAATACCACGTGTGCAGTGTAAGGTAAAATAAAAATACATCATTAGGATTGATGAACATTTATTTTAAAAAATTAGAGAATATAAAATCGTTATGTTGCTTTCAATAATGCAAAGTTATTTTTAAGAAATAGTAAAAAGTGAAAAAAATATGTTGAATAATAAAGAAAATAATATAAACAAGAAATAAATTTTTAGAAAAATGTCTGAAGGTAATAAAGTAACTCAGTGACAAAAAAGAAAATACAATTTGTAAATACATTTTTAGGAAACACGACACTTATCTTAAAATAATTATACATTATTTCCAAACATTAATTATACATTAAAACCAATACTATTAATTACTTACTAATACTATTAATTCATAAAAATCTTATTTTGACGACTATATCACTCAGAATAACTAATAATTGTTCATTATTATTATTGCACACACGGTGTGCAATTGGTTTCGAATGGGTAAACTACGTCTACAAATATTTGTTTGGTGCACTTTATTCAAAAAATTTACTTTATTTATATTATACACATTTATGAAAATTCATATACGCACATTTTATAAAATGTCGACTCGATTGTGCATGAATTTAAAAAACAGCATATATTATACATAAAGTAATATCTTGTCGATATTGCAAGAAGTAAGGTTCTATGATTTATCATGTCATTGGTCAAACTACAACGACATTTTTTCGTATTATTTTAGTTAGTTCTTGAATATTCTTGTAACCTTTGCAACATTGTCTTTTTCCAGACAATTCGTTATTTATACTTAATATTCCTGGACGCACATACCATAAATTGGGACGAATGGACCCTAAATTGCGAGGGACAGCTCATCCCCAGAAAAAAGGTATTGATATAAATATTTTTCATTTTAAATAAATAAAAGTTGTTCAGATTTGATCTAGATAATTTTCTGGTAGTGGAATTGATAAAAAATCATATTTTTTGATTAAAAATCTCAAGATCCGTTTAACTGATTAAAAACCATATATACACCTAGAAAACTAAATTACTAATTGAATTTAGTTTCGAAAATGTTGATAATTAAAAAGAGATTGTATAAATTCAATATATCTACTTTGTCAAAATTTTCTAAAATTGTTTTCTTTTTCTAAATGATTGAAATTTATAACCTAAGTATACTTCAAATAACAAATATAATAAGTCAATTCAAAATAACTGCGATCTTCAAAAAAAAAGTTATAAAAATCATATTACTAACAGTAAGTAAGTTTTATAAACAATAAAACATAATAATTATTAATTTATAATTCATTGAAAACAGTGTAACTATGTAAAAATTGTTTAATTATGTCGACTGTTAATGATAAAAAAATAATCAAATATACCAATCAAGCTCAAAAAATATACTAAATCATATAATTTAAACATTCTAGAATCATCCAGAATTATCGGTGTTGCACACGTTGAATAACCTTCGACCTGATGAGCCTAAAAAAAGTCCAGTCTCTATGAAGCCTAAAAAGAAAAACTAAGTCATGTATTATGACTTAATATACTACAAGCACTTATTGGTACACCCAACAACTAAGATTATATTAAATACTAAATTATTGTGTTAGATCATCATTATCAAGTCTTTGTGTTAACTGATAATTTTAGCTATTTCAACCAGTTAGATGGTAATAAAAAATTATAACTGCTATGTGCAAAATTTCACATATTTATTTGATCGTTTCATGCATAGCATATGAATTTCAAAATCTTACAGAATAAAGTGCTATATTACTTATATACATGTTCAATGAACTGTTTTTTTTTGGGGGGGGGGAGTATCATTTTTGTATACATTGATAAAATAATTGTTTGGGGGGAGGAGGGCGTTGGTAAAAAGAACCAACATAATCTTTACCCTGGCAAAGGAGTAAAATAAATTCAATAAAAAACAGGGAATAAAAAAGGAAAGTAAGTCAAGAAAAGCAATTTCACAAGAGATAAATAAATTGTTATTTCAACTCTGCTGATAAATATTTTTTATGAAATACCACATCAAGGTAATATACAATGTTATCTATGTAAAATATAGATCCATGAAATTCATATTTTGCATAACTTGAATAATGTAGTGATAATTTCGTAAAATTCCTTCAAAATCAAAAATAAGGACCTATTTGCCCACCCATGGAGTAAAAAGAACCAGGTGACAAGTTTTTGAAAAACAGCAATAGCTGGGAGTTTAACTGAACATAGTCACAACATAGTTTGTTTGTTTGATATGTATTATTTGTTATATAATTGGTTTGGTTTTCACAATTTAATTGCTTCAATTCAAATCCCCCGTAAATATTTATAATGAAAATAATAAAACTAATGCAACATTTACGCCATGTACGAAATATAAGTATATTGAAATAATTTCTATATTATTCGAAGTTTCTATAAATTTTTGAAGTTATTGAAATGGAAAATATGTTTTTAGGCAAGACAGATATTACAGCTACCTAAAAAATGAGATTGTATCGTCAGCGAAAAAGTAAAAAAAATACAAGCGGTCAATGAATGCATGTCAATTTTATTACATGAAGTTCTTCAGACACAATTATATGATGAGTGAAATTGTGAAAACAATATATATTTAGGCGTTGTTCAACAAAATCCACTGTTGAATAAATATTATAAAATTTATTAATCAGCAATTACTTGATTTCTCTAATGAAGGTTCAAGTCCTAATTGGTGATTACAATGGCAAAACCGATCATGTCATATTTGAAGTATGCCTTTAATTACATTATTGTTTTCAATTATTATTAAAAATTTCAATGCTATCATAAATATATAGTTTGTAATTTATTATGTATAAATATGTATAGTGAATGACATTAAAAAAATGTGTGCATCACGAGTGTTACCATATTACTAATGAACATCATTCAAATTTGTTATATGATGTATTTATTTCTAACATAAATGCCATCTTATGGAATAGCAAAAAAGTTTTACTTCAATTGCGTGTGAACCTTACGCGCACTCTTTTTTTTATTACTAAGTTACTCTTATGTTTGTGCTATAAGAAAAGCAGATTGCAATTGTATCTTTAAAAAAATATACTACTATTATTTTATGTCTAAATGCTCCATCTCAAAATATCTTTCTCCTTATTTCGTATATTATAAAATATCCAATGGGATTATTTAAAAGCTATGATAGGTATAATTATAAGTATACATGATTATACAACAGCCCGCATATACTCGTACATAACCAGGAAATATTCATAAAAATTAAGAGAGCACACATTTAATATATTCATATTATGAAATATTTATTCCGTTTGTTGAATCCATTAGCACAGCAGCCGTCAAGTGTTTGGACATACAGGTGAATTGTGTGCCAACACCCACAAGACCGGGCTCGCGGTCTTTTTCATGTCAATACATTTTCTATACGAAGTGTCACTCTTAAGAATTTCATTTTTAAAGGCGTAATTAATAATTATAGTTCGATATTTTCGAAATCGATAAAATTAGCTTTCACGTTTCAATATTATAGATCATAGTGTATTTTATATAGAAATCACTGTCGATAAAAAAAACTAGTGAATTTCGATATGGTGTCGTTACGTTTTTTGAAAATAATTTTCTAAAAAATATAGGAACAATTTACGTGAACTTATTTCAAGTATCTTCAAAAAATGTCTTGTAACTTTTTTGTATAAATATAATTTTATCCAAATTTATTCTTCACATAAACATGAATCTCTATCACATTATCATCTCTAAAACATTAATTATGAAATTGTGGAGGCAATATTGAACTGCGAAATAAAAATACTAATAATGTTCGGACGTATTTTCGTTTTATTATATTGGCCATGAAGGTGACAACCTTCAGGGCATTAAGCTTTACACGGGATGGTTTCTACCCCTGGTAGAGGGAGTAACGGAGTGTGTTAATTGAACTAGTTGTTCACTTCTAAAAGTAAAGTCCGCTTAACAACATGTATAATAAATAATAAATAATAAATATATCTTCTTTCGTTATAACTTAGTGACAAATCATTGATTGTAATAAAAACTGCAACAAATACATAATATACAAACAAATCAGTGTTAATACAGTTAATACAGTCCACAGCTACAAAGGGTTAAATTATAATCCAACACATAAATTATCGAAGGAGAGTTTTAATAAATTCTATTAAGAAACGGAACAGAATATTGAAGTTTAAATCATAAACCTTTTATGCTCAAACTAACATTTAAAAAAAAAAGTGAAATACTGTTTGTTGGCAATATTTATTTTTTTGTACAACCGCACGTCCCAGATTTAATACCAACTTCAACAAATTTTATATCATATAATTGATATTAGTTTTCACATGATATTAGATAACTAAAATATAATATAAAGTGAATAAAGGCTTACAAGGGTATTTCTGCAATATATCCCTAAGTATTGGAACAATAATCTAAAATTTATCTTATCAGATAGATGGTCATAATGGTCAACTGACTAATAACATGCTTTTCAAGAGCTTATAGAGCATATATAGTTCTGATTACTATTCAAATCAGAAGAAAATTTTATATCTATTATATTATTATATTATTTTTCATTGTTTTCCATTGTCAATTGCTTATTCGAGCAATTATTACAATTTGTTTTTTTTGTATTTTTTATTTATTTATTTTTCTTTATTTATAATTTATTTTTATTTATTTATTTATTATTATTTTCTCTTTTTCTTTATTTCTGTAATTATTATTTTCTTTTGTTATTATGTGTGATTTAACACTATATCTTATAGATAATAAAAAAATAATTTTTATATTTATTTGTTTGCTTCAATTATCCTTAAAAAATAAATCAAGCCCAGATCGCAGACTAAATAGACAAATTGATAATACCGATTTCCAAAACATATTTTTCAGCGTAAAATATAATTTGAATTATTTTAACTTTAGCTTTATTGCGCTATACGAAATATATTTTTTGCCCTTATAAACTCATAATTTTCCTACAAGTGCACACCTATAATTATACAAAAAAAAGTATACAATTATCAATTTTGTTTAAAAATTTTTAATTCTAAATTTAATGTTTTTATTTTAAATGATGTATTTGTCGAATTTTTTAACAAAGTTATCAAAATTATTTGTTTTTGAATATAGGAGTAAATTACATCAATATGGCAATAAGAAAGTAGCAAGATGCCAAGATAATATAAAAATAATAAAATTAATAAAAAAAAAAAACGTTTATAATAACAATACTTTAATGTAATATTTATTTATAATTATAGAGACATCAGTTACGACGCCACTGGAAAAAATATGTGTCGAATTAGTATAATAACTACATTAAACTAAATTAAACAATGCCAATAACAATATTCGCAAAGCGATTTGCACGCGAAGATAAGTGAATGTCGTGATATACTCTATATTCATTTAAAATTCAATTATTGAACCTGTAAATTGTAATAATCTATTACTTACGTATATAATTAAATAACATTAATATTCTATTTAAATTGTGTTATGTCAATACATTGCAATTCCGACCCAGAGAGAATAATCGATACTAAAAGATTGGAATTGAACAGATAATTTATTTGCCGTCATACTTAAGAGAATTATTGTTGTATCGATCAATTCAAAAGATATGCTCGATTTACCATTGTTGTTTGACAGTCAACAAGCACAGTGATTTTATCCAACTCTTGGTTTTTATGAGCAATTTTTAAATATTTAAAAACATACATGTAAACAATGTAGAAGTTATGCTGACAATTGAGACTGCATGAAATGATTTGCGATCTTCGAGAAGAAGAAGAGCGAATGGGACTAATTAATTAGGAGTAAAAATTCTAGAGCCTCCCCCCATGAAGTAATGTCTAACAGCGGTTTTCGTGGGGAGGAGGGGCAAGAAATAAAGAAGCGAAGGTTTAGTCGGTATTATACCTAGGTGATACAGAGCCCGACATACTCGGACAAAAGACCTAGTCTATGTGCGTAAGCGCATTTCCTTTGCTAAACAATAAAACATACATTTATATATTATATATATTAGGTTGTCAAATATCTCCCTTCCGCATTTTTGCTCTTGGTTTAATAATAATACAAAAAGGCGGAAGGGAGATATTTGACAACCTTATATATATATATATATATATATATATGTGTGTGTGTGTGTGTGTGTGTGTACGTTTTTGAAATTGCTTATATGAAAAAAAATTAAAAATGCTAATCCTAATATATAATTACAACATCATTTCCATAAAAAATATTCCAAAAGTGTAATTTTAAGAATAAAATTAATTCATTAATCATATTTTCTAAGATTTAGTTTTAACTAAAAAAGAAACTTTCTTTAATAAATTTTAAAATGTTATTGTTATTTAATGAGCGAGCGCTTTAAAAGCGTAGACCCATACTCCCACGCAATTATAAACTATGCACCAAAATTGCCTCCAAGCAAAATTTCTCTCATATTCCTTTCTCCTGTCTAGATAAATCTAAAATGATTATTATT